CCCCCCCCCTTGTCAGATTTAATAACCAATCAAATTATAATATTTATAAATTATATATTTTATTAAGTGTAACGTAAGATTTTGGTTACCCCCTTCCCCCTTTGATAATTACATAATATCTGTAAACTCCCTTATTATTTCTGATAATTCAATATAATTATATCAATATCTTTTGGTACAAATTAGTGTTTTTCAATACATATTAGTATTCTTTAATATGAATCAATATTTTCTTTCAGTATATATTAATAAGTATGAATGTATATTAGTATTTTTCCTGTCTCTTATACACATCTAGATGTGTATAAGAGACAGGTGGAAAACTATTTCATTAAAGAAAAATGGCGTTATTTAAACATTTGGCTAGAGAAATTCATGAACAACCCCACATTCAGAAATGCGGCTTTTAATTAATAAATTTCCGTCAAATTTTATTATCGTTTTCGCTACTTGACTCGCGGATCACCAATTAAATGAAAATTCAATAGGATCCCACCATAGAAAATTAGCTCTTTACTAATACCGTATATAGTGGGCCACAATACCCCAGGTATCTTGCAAAAATCAGGGGTTTGACCCTGTATTTCCAGGTACTAAACAAAGCCTAAAAATTCCATTTTTTGCAAATATCTCACGATCTACCAGTCTAATTTGAACGATCTTTTTTTTATTTTGAAGAGCTCAATGAGAGCTATCAAACAAAAAAAGATGGCTCAAATCTGATCACTGGATTACAAGATAATTGTAAAATATCCTCCCGGGTACTTATACAATTCTATGAAATTTTTTAAGGGGGGTACTATGCATAGGGGGAGTACTATGGCCCGCGATATACGGTAGTTTTTACCTTACTTTTTTCTTAAATTCTATTGGTTAATTAGCTAAAAAGGAAAAAAATCAATATAATATAATATAAAATTTCCTTTTATAATAAGATCTGCAAAGAATTTTATATATAATTTTTACCTTAGATCTAAGAAGCAAAATCCTAATTTAATACATATACTTACAGAAATTTATATGATTACATATTTACATATTAGAATTTACTTTATAAAAAAAAATTTTACTTAAAATATATTTAAAATATATTTAATTTTCTTATTTTACACTTAAAATATACTGAAAATTGAATTTTTGCAAAATTTGAATTAACTTGTATTTAATATATACTTAAAATATATTTAATTTACACTTAAATTTTGTCTATTTCAGTATATTTTAAGGATATTTAAAATAAGAATATTTTAAGTATATTATTATATACTTAAATTATACTTAAATGATATTAAATTTTGCTTATTTTAGTATATTTTAAGTATAAATAAAATTTTAAATACTGAATACTTAAATACTAATACAAATAATTTACCAATCTCTGAATTTTTTTCAAATAATAAAAGCAAATTTAATGGATTTAATTTAACTATTACTAAAGCGCTTAGATGGAAAGTTAATAAACCTTTTAAATTTACTATAAAAGATAATTCTGAATATATTTTTAAAGCACTAAAATAGTATATAAATGTAGTAGTTATTTCTAATTATTCTAAAGAACATGAAAGAAAATTTAATTATCACTATTATTAAAAATTATACTTGTATTAATAATGGTAAGTTCAAGCCAATTCTATGATTAATAAATATAATAAGAACTTGAAAAGTTAAAGATATTTCTAATTCAACTAAAAATTAGTTTTATATAAAGGATTATAGAAAGATATATATTATTACAATTTTTCAGTAATTAGAGATTTATTAAGATAAATAAAATTTATCACTTCAAGTATCTAGCAATTTCTTTAATCTGACTAGTAAAGAAGACTTAAAAAAAATATAAAAAGCTTAAAAAGCATCTTATAAAGACCAAAGAAATGTTCTATTTGACTTTAAGTATTAGCATATAGCTGAAGAGAGAATATCTATTACTTCTAATATCATTTTAAAATTTAGCTCTATATTATCAGTCTGAAAATTATTATTCAAAGTTCTGAAATTCGATTCGATTCAGATTCGATTCAGATTTGATTCAGACTCAATTCGACCTCCAAAAATTATTATCTCAAGATCTAGTGATTTAATTTCAATGATCTTTTTTTAATCGATAGGTCTCATTGCCCTAATCAAAATAAAAAAAAATTATTAAAATCGGACTGCTAGATCAAAAATTATTCGTAAAATATGTTTTTATTATTCAGAAGCAATTAGGGTTACACCGTATCATGAATTGATTTGTGTAGAACATTAGCTCTTATTAAAGATATTCACTATTGTTTTATATTTCATAAATATATTAAATATCAATATAGTATTTTTCAGCCATTTTTTTTAATGCATTGAATATTATACCTTTTAATTCTCAAATCTCTTTAATATCAAATTCTAATAATGATTAAGTTGCATTGAATTAATAAAATTTTTCATGAAGATAGGTAACCATTTTTAGTCAGAATATATATGCAAAAAACTATTTTTTTTTTTTTTTAATATCTTTTAATAGCAACAGCCATAATTTCTTCAATCCATTCAATATTTCTTGTATCTATAATCTTTTTCATTGCATCAGTATGTCTAATCTTTAAATAATTTGAGGAAACAAAATCTAAACCACAAGTTTTTAACATTAAATCATCATGTTCCCAACCAAATAATAAAATTTGTTCCCAATTATCAAGATTAATTAATTTAACTAATCTTAATTTAACTAATTTTTGTAATTTAATTAAACCAATCATTTCACTATTGATATAAATTTCTTTTAATAAATTAATATCATCATTATTAACTAATTTATTAGTATAAATATAATATAGTATAGATCTAAAAGTTTCATAATTCCAATTACTTAATTTAATAATCTTATTTGTACCTTCTATCCAACCACCTCTTAACATTTTATCAAAATAAACACTACCACTTGCTAATACAACTCTATGTGCTTTAATAAATCTTCCACAATCCAGTATAAAACCTACATCAGCAAAAGCACCATTTTCAAAAAAATGTTCATTTTGATTTAAATTCAATAAAGAATCATGAATTAATGGTTCTTCATAAGTAATAAAATGTACATGAAAAATTAAATCTATATCACGTGATTTATTTCCGTCAGGAAATAATTGATTAATTTGACATAGTCGACGATAACCTAAATCAGAATCATCATTATCAAATTCAAATCTATGTTCTAATATAGTATTATTTGTATCAGATTCAATTAATATATTTCTATTAGGGAAATCATTTAAATCAACCATTTCTAAAAATAATTTAAATTTCGCGTGACGTACTTTTATATTATTTTTTTTTTCATAAGGGGTTTGTAATGCTTCTAAATAAGCTGATATATGATCATATATATCATTCCCATTAGGAAATATTTTAAGTCTCCATTGAGAAATATAAGGTGAATTTTCATAATCTGTTTTATTTGTATTTGTAGAATGAAGTTGTGGAATTGTGAATCTAGGACTATAAAATATATTTCCAGATCCTGTATTTTTAATATATTGTTGAAATGATGAAACTCTCCAACTAAATGTACCCAAAGGAAGATTTCTTTGTGTTTGATTTTCCGTCACTACATATCGGAGTGGGTTAAATAATGTTAAATAATTCATAAACTAGTATAAAAATAATAATTAATAATAATTATAATTAGGAATAGAAACATGAAAATTATGAAAATTATGAAATATTTTTAATTTGTACTCACCATTTTAGTAGAATAAATGGTAATAATATAAATTTATTTCTTGTTTTGATAAGAAAATTAATATATATTTATTTTATTTATAAATTATTTAATTGTTTTTTTTAAAAAAAAAAATAAAAAATAAAAAAAAAAAAATGAGAGAAAAGACTTCCTTGTCGGATGCATCATTAGATCTTCCACATTCCTTTTATATAATAATTAAAAATTCTTTGTGTCACATGTTGGGGAATTTTTATTTTAATTTAAATAAAAACATAAAAAGTAAAGATTATCATACCTACAATTTTTTGACAGCTTAGTAAATCAGCTTGCATGTTCCGCAGTAAGTTAAATTAATTGTAGTTCCTAAATAATTGATTTTCATATATTCACGAGCTTTGATTGTGAAAATTGCATGAATAAAGTATATTAAAATCACCTTACATGTATTTAGTTTAAACATGAGATAATAATAAAAGAAAAAATCTTATACTTTTTTTTTCTTTGTTTGCATATTGCATTATTATTATTTTGGCGTGGAAAAATATTATATTTTAATTTGTTTTTGCTTATGTTTGTTGAATTTTTTTGTATTACTACTAATCTTTTAAATCTAAGTGTCAAATTAGATAACAATTATCATTATTGATATAAGGACATTATTAATTATGAATTAATATAATATAATTTGAATAAATTACGATTAATTTTTGAACTGATTTACAATTACAATGATGTTGATGGTTTCAATATTTAAAAGCAGGGTGCAGTACATCTTTGTAAGTGATATTATGTACAACCGCAGCATTTGTGCTCATACATTACATACATACACAAAATTGTTAACAAAGAATTTTAACATATCGGTATTTTCCTTTGTTTCTTTTTAACGTTTTACAAAAAATTTAATCATAAGAGAAAATTCATTTCAATCATACGAAATTTCGAAATTTTTGGGGAAAATATATGTTCTTGTGTAACACTTCACTTGTGAAAATTATCGTCTTGATTAGTTCAATATTTGATTTTATTAGATAGTAGATTAATTTTCCCCATCCTTTATTTTTAAACTCATCAATCTTTACTATATCGTACAAGATTTTCATTTTAAAATTGATCATTATTAATTTTTACCATATCAATTATCAAATGAGTATTTTATTAATCAAAAGACACGAATAGAAACAAAAACTTGATCATCGTGATTATTTCTCATGTCTAAATTAATTAATAGTGATGACATTGCTAATCCAAACATTAGTTTATTATAATTATGTTAAGATTTATTTATTATAAAATTATATTGAACATTACTATTATTATAATTTTCAACAGTATTACAGGATTATGCATGGACGTGTCTACCGTTTGAATGTGAGAGGTATACTGCATCTGAGAAGTAACAGAAGCGGAGGGAGAAGAGAGAGAAATTTCAATAATAACTTGTGGGTTAGAAAGGGCGTCCCACAATTAATTCATTCTACAGTTTCACAACCCGTTACACTAATTAAAATGAAATTCTGACACGCGGCAGAATAACTGATATTCATTCATCAAAAGCCATTTGGAATTTTCTCACTCCTTATCCTAATCCATAACCCACTAATATTTATTGACCTAAACATTTCCTTTAATAACTGCCCAAAGATTTTTCAACGGTATTGAGGATCGTCTTTGAATGTATTGTTTAATTATTTAGAATTTAGAATGTATATAATATTATTTTCATTATCATTTTTATTCTATATTTTTCACAATCATTGATACAATCATATAATACTATCTAAAATTGTCTAGCTAGAATATAATAAAATAGATCTATTATAAGTAGAAGATGCAATCAACTCAACTTAACAATAAGAAATACTACCATATCAGATATCTGAAAAAGAAATCAATAAGACTATAGAGAATATACTTAAAGATACTAAGGATTTTATAAAAAATACTTTATAGTAAAATATAGTAAAATTGATATTTTTTAAATTATATAAAAATCTATAAATTTTTTTTTTATTTGAAAGCAGATTGATTATAGTTTTTAAAAATATAATCAAGAATATTTTATGTTTAAAATGTCAAATACTTATAAAATTACAAATAAGTATATATAAAAATTACAAATAAATATATATAATAAAAATTATTACTTTTACTTACAATCAGAAATTTTTTTTATATTTAAAAGATATTCATTTTTTATTTAATATTTTTAATATTTAAAAACTATAATTGATTAGCTTTCAAATAAAATTTTTATATAATAAATGTATATCTTATTTTTCTGTATTGATATTTATCTGCCCAGATTTATATTATCATGATTTTTTATTTGGGGTTTATTAACTTAAATCTCATATTTCTTTGCTAAAACTTCTATTTTTTTTAACTATATTATAATGTTATAATGTAAATTTAATACTAATAATACAATTAAAAACAAAATTTGTTAAACTTATTTTATATTTGTATTTATGTAATAAAATATTTAAAAAAACACCATTTTGTTTAATTTTTATTTCTTTATAATAAGATATAAATCAGATAAAATAATGCTTTTTAGATGTTTTTTATATATAAATACAAATATAAAATGAATTTAATATATTTCATTTTTATAAGGTATAGTTTTTATATTATAATTATAGCTAACTCTAGTTATAATAAACCTGTTTATACCAAAACCTTATTATACCAAATCATAATTTTTAAAACTGATTTTTTATAAATAATTTCACTAAATATAACAAACTTTTAATAAAAACATTATATAATACATCTGAATTAAATTTAACCAGCCCTATATATCAACTATATAATAACTTTATACTTTATATAACGAATAGTCATATGATTATATAGTATTCCAAGTCAATTTTATAATGTTGGCCAGAATTACTAATAATTTTTTCAAAAATTTATATTAACCAAAATTATACCAGCATTACAAATTTGGCTTTAAAAATATATACTAAATTAAACTTTCTGGATTTGTTATATTTAAATTAACTGTATAATATTGTAATTATATTGTTAATTATATTATAATATTACTTTTTAATATAATTATTTTGTAAATTTATATAAAATATTAAAATAAAAAAATAAATTAAATATATTATATACAGAGTATCATTATAAAAAAATATTATATTTATATAATTTGAGATATTAATTATTTCTAAAACTATTAATTTTATTTTACAATAAAGCTGCCGCCTGAAATTAGGGAATTTTACTATTTGCTGAAACCAAAATGGTAAAATTAATTTAGGAAAAATACTTAATTCTGAAATGCTGAAACTATTTCAAAATTCTGATTGGCTGTTATAATATCACGTGACCAAAATTAAAATTTTTACCAAAATTATAACTGTATTCTAATACCATAATTCTGGCTCTGTAGCGATCTTCCTAGCACATGTAGCTTCAATTTAAGCCTATGTTCGTTTTATATAACATATATACTATACAAGGAAATTATATGTCTTTATGCACTGATGTTATACAAAGTGAACATAGGCTTAAAATGAAGCTATATATGCCGAAAGATTGCTACAGAGCCAGAATTATGGAATTAGAATACAGATAAAATTTTAGCAAATTTATAAAGTCATGTGATTTATAATAAACCAATCAGAAGTTTTGGATAATTTCGGGAGTTTTGGAAAGATTTCAGGATTTCGGAAGAATTTTGGGATTTTGGAATTAGTTTCAGAAATAAAATTCTGGCTGAAATTATTTCAGAATTAGGAAATAATTTCGGGCGGCAGCTTTATTTTACAATAAAAATAATAAAAAAAATAAAAAAAATATAACAAATAAAACTTTAATATTTTTATTCAATTTAATAATTTATAAATTTAAGTTAAAACTTTTAAATTTTTTATTATAATTAAATATAAAAAAATTTGTATATTACTAAAAAAAATAAGATTTATGCCAAAAAAAATTTTTGTATAATTAAATATAATAAGTTAAGATTTATATATTTATTAATAAATAATTATTTGAATTTTGCTGCTAAAATTTTTTTATTATATAATAATTCTTTTTTCTTTAAAATAAAAAATTAGTAATTCTAGATGAAACTGAAATATTTAATTATTTGACAAAATTAAAATAGTTTAAACATTTAAAATTTAAAAAAATACTAAAATTCAATATATATTTTATAATATTTTTATAGATTTTTTATAGATTTTTATAGATTTTTAATTTAAAATATAGAATAAATGTATTTGTAATTTGTTATATATTTTATTTATAACATTT